TTGCAAAATATTGCGTAGGTTAGTTCCAAGCTAGGGTTACTTCGCGCCTTCCTACTGTTGCCTCCCTGGCATCAAGCTTCAGGCGGGGCCCAGCAGAGCGGGCAGCGGCAATCTCGAACTTACTTTGTGAGGAGAGCGAACGCGGCAAGCATCATTCCACTCAGATGGAAGCTTCCACCTTTTTTTTTTCCTACCTACCTTTTGAGTTTGCCTCTGAGAACCTTGGGCGCCTCTGAAAGTAACCAGCCACCACCAACGTCCGCCCGCCCGCCCGTCCATTCGTTTGTACCTCTCTCCCTGCATTTTACCTACCTTATCTACATACTTTAGGTCCACCTCCTTTGATGATTAGACCATCTCGGACGTACCATACCTCCAAGTAAAACGTTCTCCACTTGCGTTTGATTCTGCCTCACCTCCCCCCTCCCTCCCCCATCGGAGCTGAGTACTACCTCAGAAGCGTCGTTGGAGTTGGTTTTTTTTTGGCTGTGGATCCGCGATGCGCCGCCGCTTCTCGTTGATTTGACCACACTCGATCTTGTTGCACATCCTAAGGGGACTGATGCGTGTTTCTCCTGCGTCTCGCGCCATCCAATGTCGTCTCCCGCCTTTGGCTTCTCCTCGTGGAGGAAGAAGCGGACGTCGTCCCTTCACTCCCAGCAGGCTCAGGAAGACCCCTCCTCTTCCCCGGCTCCTGCAGCAGCTGCTGTTGCCCAAAGCCTTCCTCGCCCTTCTTCTGCCCACAATCCCAGCAATGATGGAACGCAACTCTTCTCCTCGTCCCTCTCCTCCACGGTACACCGTGAGCCTAAACGGTCCTTCATCCATGGCTCTGTGCGGGAGAACTTAGGTAAGCCTATTCCCAGGATGTTGGATCAACCTTAACTTGATACTGATTCTCATGCAGCTCCCGTCGACAGCGTTCAGTCTGCTCGGTCCGTCCGCGAGGACACGGCAGAGCTAGCTAGTTACTTTCTCTCCGACAAAAAGGACGGCCAGAGTCCTTCCTTCCTCTCACGACCACGATCCCTCTCAACACTAAGCCGCCAGGAACGCACCCTACCCGACCAGGACATCGAGGTCATCGACGACACTTCCTCCTGGACGCCCGAGCCCATAGCCGAGGTATCCGAGCCGCCATCCCCCGAGGCAATCGATATTGGAGAAGCATCCGAAGGCCCGTCCATGCTCACAACTATGCTGAGGAGGTCTCCGCCCGACGAGAGATTTTTAGTACCACCAAAGGCAGATCAGGTGCTCGAGGAGAATGTGATAGATGGAGAGGAGAGCGATGACGACGATCAGGTCAAGGATGTTCCGACGTTTCGGGAGCGGCCTTGGATCATCAACCCGGAGGTAGCTATCGAAGAGCCGAACGAGTTTGCGCCATTGCTACCCGTCTTCTCGAGAGAAAGCAGACAGAGCTATGGTATCCTCAGCAACGGACACAGCAGCATCTATGATGCTGATCTCGAGGGCCAGAAAAGCCCAATGACAACGCGATGGGCTACACACGTCACCGATTCCATACGGCATAAGGGAGCACAGACGGCAGGCATGCTGAGAGTTGTGGGCGATCCGAAATGCTGGGATCGAAAGGCCCTCTGGCAGAACGTGGTTGTTGCCCCCGTGGCCTGCCTACCTGCTGTCATTGTCGGGCTCCTTCTTAACATTCTGGATGCACTGTCATACGGTGAGTAATTTGTTCCTGAGTGACGATGAACGCGCCTGCTGACAGAATTGAAGGCATGATTCTATTCCCTCTAGGAAACCCTGTATTTGCCAATCTAGGCTCTGCTGGCATATCGATATTCTATGTCAGCACGATTATCTCCCAGTTGACGTTCTCGTTTGGGAGTATCTTCAAGGGCGGTGTTGGCTCTGAGTTGGTAAGCCATCATGGATTCAATCATAAAATGTATGGACTGGAACTTGACTAACGTCGTTCAGATCGAGGTTGTTCCCTTCTTCCACAGCATGGCTTCTACAATCACCGATACTGTCGGGGCAGACGACCCCGATGCAGTCATTGCCACCACCATAACGTCATACGCGCTGAGCTCGATGCTTACGGGTGCCGTATTCTGGTCAATGGGCAAGTTCAAGTTTGGCTACATTGTAGGCTTCATCCCTCGCCATATACTTATCGGCTGCATCGGTGGCGTTGGCTGGTTCCTGGTCGCCACCGGCTTCGAGGTAACTGCACGTATGGATGGAAGTCTCGACTACAACCTCGATACCCTTAAACGGCTCGCTCAGGGCGACACCGTTCCCCTTTGGAGCATACCCCTTGTTCTGGCCATCATTTTGTTTTACAGCCAAATGCGAATCTCGTCCAAATTCTTTTTACCATTATTCATTATCGCCATACCAGTTGTTTTCTATATCTTTGTATTTTCGCTTGATGCTTTGCATCCGGACTTGTTGCGTAATGCTGGTTGGATTTTCGAAGGACCTCCTGCTGGCGAGCCTTGGTGGTTCTTTTATACACTTTACAGTATGTTTAATCCTCCCCTCTTTGATTTGATGTTGTTGGAAACTGACATATACTTGCAGAATTTGACAAGGTCCATTGGGGTGCAATTGGGCAGTGCGTACCGGCCATGTTCGCGCTGACCTTCTTTGGCATCCTCCATGTTCCTATCAACGTGCCCGCCCTGGCACTGAACACTGGCGAGGATCATGCTGATCTTGACCACGAGCTCAAACTGCACGGATACTCGAATTTTATTTCGGGAATGGCCGGAAGTATTCAGAACTATCTTGTTTATGCCAACACGTTGTTCTTCATGCGGTCTGGAGGCGATAGCCGGCTGGCTGGAATCATGCTGGCCATTCTCACTGGCATCGTGATGATGATCGGCCCGTCCCTCATTGGCTTTATTCCCGTCATGATGGTTGGCGTTCTGATTTTCGATCTCGGATTTGAGTTGCTCCTCGAGGCCATCTGGCAGCCGAGGAAGAAGCTGAAGCTGCTCGAGTATCTTACGGTCATTGCAATCGTTCTTATTATGGGTATCTACGACTTCGTCGTCGGCATTGGAGTTGGCATCCTCCTTGCGTTTGCGTCGTTGATATTTCAGGCGTCGAGAGTTTCTGCTGTCCGCGCCAGCTACTCAGGAGAAGTGGTGGGGTCTACAGTCCGGAGGAATCCGACTCAGCAGCACTATCTTAGACAGGTGGGCCGCCAGATCAACATCATCAAACTTGCCGGCTACCTGTTCTTTGGAACCATTGTCAGCGTGGAGGACAACATCAGAGCTCTGATTGCCGAGGAGGCATTCAGAAGTCGCCCAATCCAGTTTTTGATCATCGATTTGTGGCAGGTAACGGGCCTGGACTACTCGGCCGGCGAGGTGTTCAACACTATCAGTCGGTTGTTACACGGCAAGGGTATTGAGTTGGTTATAAGTGGTGTCGACGCCGAGCATGCCCTTGGTCGCAGTCTAAGGGCAGTCGGTCTCGGCGAAGATGGTGTTGAGGTCAAACTGTTACCTGAGCTCAACTCTGCACTCGAGTACTGCGAGAACGAGCTGCTCAAGACGCTTTACGCCAGCCAAGAGACCGCCCGCACATTACGGTCCACGGCCGCTGCCAGCTTGGACGTGCCTGGCCGTCCCCCAGCGGCCTTCCAGCCGCTTGACATGATTGCGTCGTCGCCGCGCCGCACGCATCTGCACGAGGCGGCGCAAAAGTCGCTTAGCCACATGGAAGTGAAGCGATTACCGCGCTGGCAGAGCTTCAAGGAGCCCCTGCGGTTGATGCTCCAGATATTCCAGGATGTGAGCGACAAGAATGAGGACTTTTGGTTCCGCGCGGTACAATTCTTTGTGCAGCGCGAGTATGCGGCTGGCACGGTGCTGTTTCGCCGCGGAGAGCGTGCCGAGGGGTTTTATCTCCTCGAGGCCGGTATTCTGAGAGGAGAGTATATTCTGCCACAGGGATGGTTTTTCGAGAGCATTGTGGCGGGGACGACGTGCGGTGAGCTACCATTTTTCTCAGAGACCAATAGGACAGCGACTTGTGTGGTGGAGAGAGACTGCGTGGTGTGGATGATGGACCGGGAGAGCTGGACACGGCTGCAGAAGGATGACCCGGATGTTGCACAGGAGATTTTGAGGATCTCGTTGAAGTTGACGAGTGAGCGACTGAGCGTCATTACGAGTTATACCTTGACTATGGCTGGGTAGGTACATGACTATCAATATTTAAAGGATAGCGAAACTAGATGGGGATAAGTTGTGGTTGTGGTTGTAGCTGTGGTTGTTTTGTAGTAGAGTACTATGCCGAGTGTGGAAAGCGAGCACTACTTGCTTATTTGAGTGTCAGTGTTGTTGTTTTGGGATATGTATGGTTTGGTGGGAGAGGAGGTAGCATCTTTGACTGGGAGCTAGACTAGCATTTGTGGTTGCGCTGGGGTGTTGTACTTTTGTGGCAGATTCGTCGGCATGTGCTGTATTTGATGATATGACAGATATCCTAGAGGTTCGTTTGGTCCTGACGGGCAATTGTCACTCACATATATGTGTGTTGGTTGTCTGCATTTTATTAATTTGTTTGTATAAACCGGAAGGATTGAAAAAGCCATTTGTTGGCAGCTAGATTATCGTTTTATCATGCCGTTTAAGATTATGAAGTCGATAATTTATTAGTGCAACGCTGCAAAAGCGGACATCTCTCCCTGGTGATCACTTGCACGTTCGCTATCTGGTGTTGTGTTATAATGTAAGTCACGATACACTAGGTACTATTTTAGCTTATTCTATCGCATCTCAATTCGTTTCCTTCAATCCGGAATATTGTTTGCTTCAAAATATAGCTCGGCCGCTCGGGATTACAAAAATTACTATTATATAATCTGATGTCACTTCAAGTTTTATCGTCGCATGTTTGCATTTGCTAACAAAAATTGCATGTTCAATATCGAGTAAACGCACTGCGTTTGCGCTACATAGGCTGTGAAATAACTAGCCAAAACATCAATAACAACGTCTTCTGACGGTTGTATAGTGTAGCGGTTATCACACCAGATTCTGAATACCTCCGGTTCTTCTGGTAACCCCGGTTCGATTCCGGGTACGACCTTTCTTTTTGCATTTTTTGCGTATGCCATCTTCTAAAAGACGAGTAATTGAAAACAGAAGTTTGCAGCTCGATCATTTTTTTTACATTCACTTTTGGAGACAGATGCGTCAACATGGTTATTATCAACTTTGGTATTTCACTTTGTTGGTCGTAGTTGGGGTGAAAGTATGTGGACCCTAACCCTGAATTGTGAAGCAGAGGTGCTTCATGCGACGACATGACAGCATTGCTTCGTTTCATTGCCCATAAGATATTGCAATATTTGAAGATCATGCCGGTCGGTTTTGAAATAAGTCAGACTTATCAAATATCAACATAAATTTATGTACTTGATCATGAAAACATGCCAAAGAATTTGATTAGAACACAAAATGTGCGCACTCATCCCACGACTGCCTCGATGTAAGTAGCGAGACAACGACAAAGGGAAAGAGATGCGAGTTTCGATCTTCTCTCGCCTTGTATCCTCTCATACACGGAAGTATTATTGGAGGTTATTAGATTGCAAGAGGATTAGAGAGCTCAAATACCAGCTCTATCATCATGAGTTCGGTCGAGCTGCTGACCAAGAGAAGAATGGTTCCTTCACGGCAGAGGGGGTGAACTGGAGTGAGCCGGTATCGTAAGATCCCAGGAATATTTAAAGCAACGCTATTAATATGTGTTTCAGTCGGCTTAGCTGACCAGACATGTCGTCGTGTATAATTAATGTTTGATGACCAATGATCACTTGCTTGTCTGCTTCATTTCCCCAGCACCCGTTCAATAGTCGACTTGGGCAAGCAATACACCTCATCAACCGGCTGTAATCCAGGAAACTCCAGCAGACTCAAACCCGCGAGGCCAAAAACAGTGTGCCAGACGTCGACCATATCGCCCGGCCTGTCCGAGATGCCGCCCTTTTCGGGATCCTGGCAGCTCAAGATAAACCCGGCGAGCTGGTCCTTGTCGATCCAGTGCGTCTTGCCGACCATGGCCAGGCTGCTGAGGACCCACCAGCTGTAGCAGACGTCCTCGCGCTTCTCGGGCCGGCCGTTGAGGCCACCGCCGGCGATCTGGCGCTCGCTTAGCCAGCGGCCGAGGCGGTCGGCGTCGATCAGGTCCTTGCGGCCGGCGATGGCCAGGGTGGCGACGCACGTCATGATCTGGCCCGCGTGGGACTCGGCGCCGGGGCTGACGCCGTAGCCGCCGTCGAAGTTGGCGCAGGCGACGACGTGGTCGACCGCCTTGTCGACGTCGACGAGGTCGAGCAGGCCTAGCAGGGAGAGGGCGTTGAAGGCGCCGTAGAGGAAGCGCGTGTCCTCCTCGCCCCACTCGTCGCCGGCGAAGGTGCCTGTCTGGCGGTTCTGGAGGGCGGCGATGTCTAGATGGGGGGTAAAGAGAATAAAGAGTTAGTAGGTTAGTTTCTTTTTGGTTTATATGTCATTTTGGGCTTGTTGCGTGTGAGAGGTTGCAATGCGCATGCAACAACAACAACAAGAAGAAGATCTCATGATTGCATGTGACAGCGACAATGATAACGACGACGACAGACGCACATTTCCCCACCTGCGCTTTGCCGCCCTTCTTCCCCCGCGTCTCGAGCTCGTCAAAGGCATCGACCAGGGCCAGAATCTGCACGGCGCTGACGGTCGACAGCATGTGGGCGTCGTGGCCGGGGGCGGCGCCAAAGCCGCCGCTGTCGTGCTGGCACGAGAGCACAAAGTCGATGGTCTCGGCGCGCGGGAGGGCCTGCGGGTGGCCTAGCAAGTGCAGGCTCGTCAGGCCCCAGTACAGCCCGTTGAGCCGCAGGTGCTCGGTGAGCCAGTAGTCGTAGTCGTCCTTGCGCGCATCCAGGCTCTGTATGTACTTGACGTGGGCGGTGGTGGCGAGCTGGAGCTGGAGCTCCGAGGGGAGCTTTTTGAAGCCGTCCTCGCCGGCCATAATTTCCCCGACCGATTCTTGATTGGGACGATTGTTTGATGGTTTTTTTTAAAATTTGTTTATGCGCTATGTTTTATGCTTTTCTTCGGCAACTCCGAAATAAAGGGAAGGAACGTACCTGCCTCGCCTGCCAATTAATGACGTGATGACGGAGTGAGGTCGGGATGCCTACCAAGGTGCGGATCTTACATAATCAGCACTGTGTAACCGTTGAAGCCCCCTGGCAGGCACCGACTAAAATATAAAATGCCCAAATAACGCTGCCAAGGCCAGTTTTTGACCGTTCCGATCAGATCCAAAAATGCCATTGACTCCAAGTTTTGCAAGCCACATCGGTTTCAACTCACCCGTTTATGGCTTCTGATGGATAGCATTGCAGATAGCTCTCATGTTATTGTTCAATACCTAGGAACCTTGTCGGACTTGAAGATATCCCGTACACAAGTCTACTTTCTGGCCTGGCCACGCCAGATGGTCGGTCTCTTTCTTTGTCTTTGGACCAAGTGGACATCTGAAAGTTCCAAGCTGACGCTCACCTGCCGTTTCCCTTCCAAACAATGCGACACTGATGAGAAAGCGACACGTTATGCGAAACACATCAGCGTACTGGAAGGGCGTCCAGGTAAGCTTACTGGGCAAATCAGGTGCGACGTTCTCATAAGACCTAGGTGATTGCCGGGTCCAGCGAACCCATCACAGGGCTCATCTTTTGTTTAACTCGTGGCGCTATTTGTATGCGCATGCAATGCAGACAGGCATATATATTGGAATATTATGCGTGATGGGTATCTCGATGGAAGGCAACTTTAACCAGTACACCTATTGATGGGAACTGAAGTGACAACCTGCTTTATCTCGGTGCTTCAGTTGCACTGCATTTACCTATCTATGCAGTACTTACGAAACAGGCCCGTTTGTGAAAGAGGTGTATGGCATGGCTTGCTGGCTGCGAATTGCCGATTTTAATGGGTGGTGCCAAGACCCGAACGTGGTGTCAGATCCGCAAGAGCAAGATGTTTTGCATCGCGGGGATCGACTCAGGGAAGACGGACGGGGCGAAACATACAGCACAATCCTTGCGGCGGGTCACAATTGCGCAATAATAGTTTCAGACAAGAATGTGAGTTTGGCTGGTTTTGTCCAGACGAAGCTCTGGAGCGTCCAAATGTTGCACGGAACTCATGTGTAAATTCAACTCTCGTGATGTCTAACCGGAAGGATCTCGGACTGGAAGGCTTTGAAGTGTAAGTCGAATGTGGACGACCTGTCAACAGCAGCCGGGCGTCATCCACTTTGAGCTCCGGTTTCACTCATCAGGTACCAAAATAGGTTGGGCCCTAAACGTGTTGATTCGTTCGGCCTTATCGTGTGGCAGTTGACACACCCGTGCCTCATGCTCCATGCCCATCTCATTGCCATCATCGCACGAACTTGAGGCCGGGCCTGTCAGGGTGGGAAACAATCCGTTTTGATAAACGTGCGAATGTCTTGGTGGCCAAGAAACAGTGCCGAGTTTCAGATTTGGTCAGTGTTCCTGGGGCTAAACTTGTTTTGGGCTAGCCTTCCTAACTGGACCCCTCCCCCTCTTCTTCATTAGATAGACACGGAATCAAAGAAACGACATGAATTGAATTCGAAGATTCCCTGCCTGGGGTGTGTGCGGACACACACTATAGTCTTTCTTGGCTCCGACTGGCGTTGACGCCAGCATGCCCCGAGAAGCTGCAGATGGCTTGGGCCTTTTCATGCCATCAGGGTATCTGTGGGTTTCCCGCTGGTTTGTAAAGTACGTACCCACGCATTATCGAGGCATGTCCCTTACCTAAACAGAAAAAAGGCTGTTCAAGATGGTGTATACCAAAGTACCGCGTGACCACATGCTCTACAGCGCACTCACTGTCACTGCACTCGACTGGGGTCCCGAACAAAGAGGGGCGACGATGCGTGTCCCAGATGTCTTGGGTGCCAGTTGGAGGAATGATAAGGACGGGTGGCTGACGATTCGAGATGTGAATGGCGCCCGGCCGATCAAAGACAAAGCCCCTTACTTCGCAGCACCGAGTAGTGACTCCAGTGGTGAGCACGCGCCGTGTCGAGGAGCTCCCCTCGGAAAGGCGTTATTTCTCGTTGTTGCATTCATTGCCCGCCGGCGGTTGCCCGGTGGGCCTATTCGACCGCTTAGTTGTTCCACATCTGCAAGCCTACCTCAAATCGGCTTGCCTCCCTTTGATTCCCTTTTCACTATCGACCTCCATTGTGTAGGTAGGTAGGTAGTAATTGCGACCACGATAGTGTGGTTTGAAGAGCCATCAGAGGTACCTGGCCTTCCCGCGCGCTAGCCGTGACACTGGACACCTGTCTACCTCTTCCCTTGGTACCGACGCATTGCTGGGCATTCATATTTGTCGGCACTGACGATCAGAAGAAGGCTTCCCCTTCCCTTCCATCCAGTGTGTTCCGCGTCCCGAACCACAATTCAGATACCTACCTATACTTCGTACAGAAATCCAGACGGCACTCATAGACGAGACCAATAACGCGGCGTTTAAACTAGACAGACCGCCCCTGATGACACATTCCTGCACGCCCGCTAGTGCTTGACAGTCGGTTTCAGAAATCTGTTCTGGAACTTTGGGAACAGAGTTGAGCCGCTGGGCCGCTGGGCCTCTACAGCCTGGGGATAGCCTGGTGACTGCTGCGGATACCGCTAGAACACGGCGGCAGGCACACATGCACGCTAGCACACAGGCACAGGCACAGGCACAGGCACAGCAGTAAGGTAAGTTTGATGAATCGAGCGTGCCGTCGGCTATCGAGCATCAGAGGCTGTATCTCTGATCTCATCCCTCGACATCAAGTCTGCAGGGACAAGATCCCAAACCGGCGCGCACCACCCCCTTCATTGGCCAACCGGCAGCCTAACTGTTTGGTCCTCGCTAGAAACCTGCAGAGGGGCCTGAAAAAACGGACACACCCCTCCTCTCAGATCGCGGCGTTACGACCGAAACCCCCATCGAACCCAAGCCAAGGAACCTACACTACACCTTCGTGCACGAACCCTTTTGCTTTGAGCTCTC